GAGAGGGAGAGAGGGAGGGAGAGAGAGAGAGGGAGAGAGAGGGAGGGAGGGAGGGAGGGAGGGAGGGAGGGAGAGATTGAGATTTTCCTAGAAGCTTTTGCTTTCTGGTTGGCTCACCAGAAATGTTGCTGGGGGCTGCAACTGTCCAGGGTTCTCTGTATCCTGAAGAAACAACGTAGCCGGACCTAGGGAAGCAGAGATGAAAGCCTGGATTCCTCGGCAGGGAAGTGCTCCTCAGGCTGAGAATGGGCGAGTGGGAGGAGCTAACAGCCCCGGAAGCCAGGGGTCAAGCCTGTGTGTGGTTTTACAGGGAGGGGTGCTCTTGGAACTGGCGCAGCAGTTCACTCCCACTGGGGACAAGTCCCCTCCTTTCTGTAGGAGACCTAGTTTTTGTCCCTATGTGGACATTTGAGGAACTGCCAAGGCGCCTAGAGCCCACGAGGGTGGAAGGTCAAAACCACAGTGTAGATGAGATTATGAGTGATTGTGATGGAGCCAGGGGTCGCTTTGGAGTATTCAGGGTGTCCTACAGGGCATGTCCCCGATGCCCTTGGTGAGAGCTCAGTCTGGGCCTCCCGGAAGCCTACGGTGCAGCACCCTCCTGTCTCTCGCAGCACTGGTCCAGCTGTAGGAAAGGGGGCTGTCTGTGGCTTGTGGAGAGCCAGCTTCCTCTTTCCTCCTCTGCCCTTCAGGCCTCCTCCTTCCAGGAATTTCTCCTCTCTGCCTTCTGCCTAATCCCGGCCACTCTCCCCTCCCCTGTGCAGCCCCATCCTGTATTAAATCCCTTTGTAGGAAGCACCACTGTGGCTGCTCTGCTCCTCTAGATGCTGTTGGTCTGTACTTTGGATGGCTGTGCCCAGGGCTTCCTTTGTCTGATAGTTCAGTGGAGGTTGCTGACTGCAGTAACATGGAATAAGTGAGCACCCCATTCCTGGGCCTCGGGGAGGAATACTGACTCTCCTGGAATGTCTGCTTGTGTGTACAAGGAGAAGCTCAGCCCCTAATACACTTCATCGGGGTGTTCATCTCATGGCAATATCACTCACTCGCTCAGCCATTCAACAGACCTTACTGCATACCTGCAAAGCTCTATATACTCTGCTGGGGAGGGGGAGAACATGGCCGTGAGCAAGCTGTGTCCTTTGTGGTTCGCCAGGACCAAGTGAGAGAAAAAATGGTCACAGTGTCAGGAGCAAGTACATGTCGGGGCATGGGGAGCCCTGAGCAGGAAGCCATTTCCCCAAGCTTCAGGCTTCTTAAGTGTCCTTTCTGTAAACACGTTTGGCTGAAAAAGAAAACAACAAACCACAGTGCAATTTGTATGTGTACCCCTCCAAAATAAAGCAATGCTTAGGTAAAATCTAGTGAAATGTGTACAAAATCTTAAATGCAGACAGCTGCAGAACTCTGATGGAGGATGTCAAAGAACTAAATAAATGCAGAGATGCTGTTGTGTAGCTGAGACCCATTTGCCTGTGTCTTAGAAGTTTCCTTCTGACCCTTTCTGTCCTTTATCCCCCTTCTCTGACAAATGTCACGATAACAGTGTGACCTACCATCTCTAGGTCCCTGCATTCCGTTTCTTCTTCTGCTGTGCGCTGATTTCCTCCCACACTGTCCCCCATTTCTCGTGTCGATTCTTCCAGAAGTGAAGTGCAGGTGTGCAGCTTGCTGGGGAGATGAGAAGAACATGGTGTCTGGGGGGGGGGTCAGGCGAAGAAGGGAAGCCGCAGTGGACATCGCATTACCTACCTGGCTCCCACTATGGGAAGCGGGGCTTCTTTTAATAAGGCCACAGATCATCCACGAAAGGCACTTGTTTGATAAAGTGTCTGTTCAACTAGTTCACATATTTTAAAAATTGTTTTCTAATTATTGTGACTGAGAGCTTTAAAATATTCTGACAATTTTTTAATTACAGATGCAGAAACCCGAAATATAAATAAAGAGTAAAATGAAAGATAGGTGATAGAAAACAGGGAGATAGATCTTTTGCACATGCGAAGAGGAGGGGCGCGGGGGATGCGTGTGTTATGCGCATGTGGCCACTCCCGGTGAAGAGCGCAGCCACAGTGCCCTGCAAACACAGGCCAATGAAAATAAAAATTGGGAGAAATGCCTTTCATATATTTTCTCCAGGTCTGTGACTTGCATTTCATTTTCTTTTTCTTTCATTTTTTAAACAGTGCTTTGTGAAGAGCCAAATTTTTAATTTTTACAAAATCAAACCTAACAAATTTGTCTGTGGGTCATTCTTTCTGTGTAGTATGTAAGAGATCTTTTCCTAACCCAGCATCACAAAGATTTTATCCTATATTTTCTTCTAGAAACATACAATTTTAGGTTTTACTTACGTCACTATCCATTTTGAGTCCATTTTTTGGTAAATAGTTTGATGTGTGGATTCAGGTTAATTTTTTTGTATATGTTTATCCATCATTCTAACATTATTTGTTGAAAAGAGTTTTTACTGATTTACTTGTGCAATTTAGTAAAAAAAAAAAAAATCAGTTGATGACCTGTGTGTGGGTTTGTTTCCTGCATCCATCACCTTTCTTTTGACCGACGCTCTACTGTATAGTTGTAGCTTACCAGTAGGTACTGAAGTCAGCTACTGTGAATCTCCATCGTTCTTCATAAGTTTTGAAAATATTTTCCTGTCCTTTACTTCCCCATACAAATTTTCACTGTGTTAAGTTTTATAAATATGTTCCAATAGGATTTTGAAAAAGATCACGTTGCATTTATGGATCAACTAGGGAACTGTAATAACACTGAATCTTCTAATCTGTGAACTCAACCCACTTCTCCATTTATTTAGCTAGTTTTTATCATATAAACTTTCTACGTTTTGTTTGTTTTGCATTTACTTTATGCTTTGTGTCTATTAAAAGTAGTACCTTTTTAAATTTAACTTTGTTTTTAATTAGGTTTATTGGTACATTTTAGGTATATAATACAGTTACATTCATCATTGAGATGTTGTACCTGTACATGATGTATCTTGGTTCTTATTTTTTCCCCATTTCCCTGCCCTCCCTTCAAGCCCTCCACCCTTCCCTATTTATAGAATCTTTGTTTCCATTTTTTCCTTTTCTCATATTTTTTCCTTTCCCTTCTTTCCTTTCCCCAACCCCTCCAGCTTCCCCTACCCCTTTAGACTTTATCTTCCTATTTCACATTATCAATTATACATTTTGATCCTTATTTACACTTTCAGTTTCTCACACTAGAGAAATTATTCGGTATTTACACGTGTGTCCTATTTATTTCACTTACGAGTATGGCCTCAATGTCCATCCATTTAACTATAAATGTCTCTAGTTTCATGTTCTTTATAGCTGAGTAGTACTCCATTTTATAAAAAAGAAAAACCCACATCTTCTTTATCCAGACTCCAGTTGATGGGCACTTGGGCTGTTTCCAAGCTTTAGCTATTACAAACTGTGTCACTATAAACATGGGTGCACATATATCGCTGTGGTATGATTCTTTTAATTCTTTTGGGGAAGATACCCAGCAGAGGAATTGCTGGGTCAAATGGGACCCTCTAAGCCTAGTTCTTTGAGGTATCTCCATACTGATTTCCACTCAACTTCTATTTGTTCATTGCTAGTATGTAAAAATATAACTTATTTTTATATATCCATCTTGTATCCTGTGCTTTTATAAACTTATTCTAGATTTTTGGGCTGTGGAATCTGGGGTTTTCTACATTGACAATCATGTTTTGAATGAGCCAGTTTTATGTTTTCCTTTTCAATCTATATGCCTACATTTTGTTTGTATATGTTTTGAACTGCTATTTTGCTCGAAGCATTTATGTTTTAGATAATTAGTATTTATATTATTAAATCCTTGCCAAATTGGCTATGAGGATTATTAAAAGGGATTGGCCCTGAGCCTAGCCAGGTAAGGTGCTTGGGTTGGATTGTCAGTCCATTCTTGTACTTCTTTCAAATATTCATTCACGACGTGGCTCAGCTTTCCTCATGCCCCATTGCTCGCCATGCTCTATCCTCAGACCAGAGTGGGCATGAATATGCTTGGGACTTAAGTAATCATAGAGACTCTAATTGCTATTAGAATTACATGGCAGTGATCTCCCAAGATCCTCAGGTACAGGTGGCACCTTAGTGCTTATGAGACAGTTACCAAAGCTCCAGAGATAGATTTGATGATGAATTCAGTTCCAGTCCACATTCAAGGTCTTGTGGAGCCTTATAAGCTATTTACATTCAAGAACAGTCATACAGTAGTCTTGCATGTGCAGAATAAGTTCTTAGGACTCTTTCTGCTCTAATGGTACCTGGGCATGAACCGTTTTCTTATCTGCTCTGTGCTGTGGACAGGCTTTAACCTTTCAAGCTGTGCTACAACAGGATTAGGACACTGTATATAAGGGTTGGCTTTATTGTAATAGTGATCCATTATTTTCCTGTTTTGGGATGGCCAAGGGTGGTGCCACATATTTATAATGAACTTACTGGATGTTGTTCAGCTACTTCTTGGGCACAATCTGCTCCCCATCAAATAGGAAATGTCACTATGGTCATAATTTTATAATGTAAGTGGGTGCACTCTGTGTATACATCTGTACGCTCACTGGTTTATGTTGCTGGGTAATAAAACTTTTTCCAAGAGTGGGGTGTACTTTCATTCCCTTTGTGTTTTTCTGTGCTTCAAAATCATTTGCAATGGTAACCAGAGAAGAAACAATTACTGTACATAAAGTAAGAGAACTTTCAAAGAATGTCTTTCCTATGTTCAGTCCAGGAAAAAATATTATCTTTCTAATTTTGGCCAGACACTGCCAGAATTGAGAAACTAAAGAGAGGAATTCTAAAGCTGGTTTCCTAGAAGAAAAAGAACCTCGAAAGTAGTCTACACACTGAGAATTATATTAACTGACTGGAGGGATAGTGAGTGATGAGAGAGAGAGAGAGAGAGAGAGCCACATACCAATGTTGTGAAGTTTCCTTTTTCTCTCTGTAAACCAGGTTGAAAAGGAGAAGCAAGCCTGCCCCAAAGAAGAAGTGACAGAGGACGGCAGTCCCATGAGCCGATGGCCTCAGCTCCTGCACGCACCTCGTCCCGACCCATCTGGCTTCCTCTGGCAAGCTGCCTGACTTCGAGTGTGATGCCGGAGCAGACACCAGTTGACGGCCACGGCCCCCACAGCCAGGGAGCCCCAAGGCTGCCTGTCTGCAGGTGAGAAGGGTGTCTCTGGTTGGCGGCCCAGCAGCAGTCCTTGGCCTCCAGCACCATGGCTCAGATCTTCTGTATCACCTGCCATCCTTTCTCCCCAAGCTGTGAATGGCCACTGGGTCTGCAGGGAAGGGCGGCCCCGGTGCTGGCCTCCATGGTGCCTTCTGAGCCCGTTTCCCCTCTGTCCCTGGCATCTTGTTGCTGATTGTGGCTTTTGATCCTGACCAATTTTGTAGTTAGTTCCCTATGCGTTCCTCTCTGCCCTAGCACCATGTGTTTGCTATTTGGTCTCCTGAATCAGCTCCTGGTACCAGACCACAAGCAGAGCCACAACTGGCTGTGGGCAGGCTCCCAGTTGCCATGTGAGTAAGATCAGGCTGCCGTAGAATTCAGAGAAGCAGAGAAGCCCAAGGGGACAGGAGCTGTCCAAATGTGCATGCCAGATGCAGCCAGTGCACTGTGCCAGGAGCAGAGAGTGGGCGAGGAGGAGCCCCTCACCCTCCCAGCCTCGCCTCAGGCCTCCCGCACCCCCTGCAAACTTCTCCGGACCAGGCCAGGTGAAACTGAACCCTTCGAGGATTCGTTCACACTTGGTCCCATCAGATGGTGCTCCGGCCATGGAACCAGCTGCTCTCAGACTGTCGGACCTTGAGCAAGTTATCTGGCTTCCACCGCTTTGTCCTCTTCCCATTTCCTGAGGTCCGGAGACATGGGGCTGCTGGCCTCCTACCCATTCCCCTTTGGAACACAGGCACATGGCCTGGGCACTTTCATGAGACTAGAAAGAGAGCACAGAGAGCCTCCACTGCCAGTGTAACCCCAGTTGCTGGGGACCTTGGGGCCTGGTGCTTCTCAGTGCCTTCCCTGACTCTCCCCTTGCATTTGTGTCTTGCGGTGTAGTGGGATCAAGAAAAGCAGGACAGGAGTTGGCCATGGGGAAGAGAAAGCTGAGTGGTGAACTAGGAAAGCCAAGCAGCCCAAGACCCCCCCCGTGTAGCAGGACACCCCTTGGGTGAGGGCATTGGAGCTGGCCAACAGCAGGCAGGGCTGCAGGCTCACGTCCCATGCCTGCGCTCCTCCTGCTGCCACTGTCTGTATCCCCAGACTCTGGGGAAGGAGGGCTTAGATCCCGAGTATGAGCTCTGATGGGGACTCGGGAACAGCACCTCACCCCACCCCACTGCCCCACTGCACCCTTCATGCCCCTGTGGGGAAAGACTTGTCAGGTCAGAGGGAGGATCCTCAGGTCACCTTGTGCCCCTGTGGACTGTGTGTGCATGTGTGTGGTGTGCCTGTGTGTGCGTGCCTGTGTGTGTGCGCTGGGGAGCTCAGCTTGGGAGAGTATCTTTGGACTTTCATTTCTTTCCCAGGCCCGACAATGATGAGCCCCTCTCGGTGTGTGTTAGGGTCTTTTCTACCCCTGAGAACCTGGCCAACGAGCTAATCCTGTGCAGCCACACGAATGCCTTCACGGGCCCAATGTGTCCTCAGCAGTGGCCTTGGAGGAGCCCCTGTGGGCTACTTTCCCACCCCGTGCAGAGTTAGCAGACAGAAGGCTGGGGTCTGGAGTGGATCCCCCTCTATCCAGGCTCCATCTGCATCCATTCCAGAAGCCATTTCAGCCTATTCTAGCCCACACTTAGATGACCTGGTTATGGGCTCTGAAAGATGGGACTGAAATGGAAAGATGCAGTGGACCCCCACAAACCCCAGCCCTCAGTGCCTTGCTCCCGAGAGGCCCATGGGGGGAGGGAGGCCATGGCCAGCCCTCAAGAGGACAGGGCTCTTTGTTCTTCCAGCCATTCAGCTTATGATTCAGGAGGCCCCTCCTGGCCCAGCTGGGCCACACCTCATGTCTTCTTTCCATTCCCTCCTCTGAATGAACAGTGTGTGCCATGTCCACTCGGTGCTGGTGCCCACCCGGGCCTGGCCCTGCTGTTGTCTTCCTGTGATTTCCTGGCACAGTGTAGGTGCAGGTCCTCAGCTTGCTGCCATCCCAGAGACTCTTCCCTTGAAGACCGAGTGCTGTTTCCACAGTCACTCTGCTCCGCCACTTGGGTTTTGTTTGTCCCCACAGCGCCTCTCACCCTCTGGGATTATCTTGTTCACTCACTCGTTTAACCTCCCTTCCCCTCACAATGTACACACCCATTGCCAGCAACCACCCACTGCTCCATCCTCAGTTTTCAGCACTAGTAAGAACTCAATAAATCCTTGTCGAGTGAATGAATGTTTGTTGGTTGGTTTTTTGTGGGAATAATTTTTAAAAAGCATAGATGATTTGAGAAGTCGGAGGTAATGCTGGTGACCTGGCAGGGCTTTGTGTGTGGAGTAAAGAGAAGGGGAACAGGAGTCCTAGCGTGCACAGATGGTTCCCTCAGTCTAGCATGACCTTGAAGGGCAGCGTAGAACAGGGCATGTGCTGGGTGTGGACTCGGGACACCTGAGCAGCTTGAGATGCTGCTGGGAAGGCCATAGGGTTCCTGTGTGAAGGAGGCAGGAAGGTTAGAACTTGTGAACCAGGAAGCAGAAGTGAGGCATTGGCAGGGGAGGAGGAGAGGGTTTGCAGGGCAGGGCAGGAGCTTGGGGCAGTGCCTACCTGGGGCTTTGACCTTCTGTAACTGGAAGGTGCCAGGCTTTGGTCACAATGGTGGTGGAGTGTGGGGCCAGAGAGGACAGGATTCTAAAGAAACCATCTTGAAGCCTTCAATATAACCCTTATGGATTTATAGGTTCAATTTATTTACTTATTTAAAATTCAAGACAACATTTTGTCCCCTTGCCTACAACTTTATAGTTAGATCATATTTAGATTTAAATCCTAGATCTAAACTAGAGACCAGTATTATTTCAGATGAAAGATAAAAGAATTGGAGAAAGGCCTAGTCTAATCTTCCCAGCAGATAAAAGGTTCAAGAGGAAACTTGGCGTATGGGTTTGCCTGTGAGACTTACAACCACTGCACCAGGTGAGAAAGAAGGTGCTGTCCCAGGGACAGTGACTCGCTGAATGTCCTCTGAGTAGCTGTGTAGCAGCCGAGATGTGGAAGCCCATCCGCAGCACTGACACTGTGAACAGGTACTTTATTGCCATCTCTGCTTATGCAGGATGAAGTGTCCTTAATGGACAAAGACGTGGTGCTGACTCAAGGTCAGCTGACTCAAGGCAGGGTGCACAGGTGTTATTTGGAGAGGCCTGCCATACTCATCTTGTGACAGCTGTACACTTGCAGTTATAACAATAATTTATTCAGCATCCACTCTGCACCAAGGGGTATTTTACAATGTAAGTGAGAGCGGCCAGTCCTGGCCCCCATGGCAGCTGAAGCCTTGACCCCGACTTTCTTGCTACCATGTGCAAGCTCTAAGTCTAACAGGAGGCAGCAGAGCCCTGGGACGCCTGGAGATGCCACCCTGTGAGAGGAGAGGAGGTGGTGGGAAGGGGGTGGCACGCCAAACCTCCACGCCCCCATGGAAGCTCCAGAGCCTGAGCTGACTTAACTTTGTGTGGAGAAAGGATCCCACCGAGTACAAGAATCTGACGATCTACAGCTCCACAACGGGAAGCAAAGTCTGCCAGAACCCTGTGTTAGTGGTTTTCTCAATGACTTGCTAAATCGCTGCGTGTGCTACTTGGCATCGCATTATAGGTTTGCCTTTGGTTGCCAGCGTTTCGGTGAGCACTTGCTTTCCCCAATCCACCTGTCCCCGTGTTGATGTTCAACTTCTTCTCAACCGGCTACTTTTACCCAAAGTACAGAGAAGCAAAAGACGACTGCAAACAGTTCTGATCATTATTCCTACTCCTTTTATTTTTAAACAAATTTACCTAAGAGTATTTGATATGGCACTAGAAATCCGTCCCAGTTGCATAAGCGACATTATATAGAGATGACATTAATAATACCTAAAATAGGGTAGGAAGAAATCGAGATAAAGGGAGGTTACAGCTTAGGTGGCGCTCTTACTTCACAGTAAATCAGTGTCTGTTAGATTTGCATCATTTGAATACAAAAGATTTCTTAAGGCTAAGTTCTATCAAAGTGTTAAGTCTAATTTCCAAAGTGGCCTTCCTGCTGGACTTTGAAGTACGTGACTCTCTCCAGGGCCCATTCCGAATCTGAGGCTGGAAGCCCAGGGAGGCCCTGGAGTCTGGAGAGGATGATGGACTTCTCTCTAGAACTTGAAAGCTGTAGGACTTTGTAGGGAGGTAGATAATCCTTCGTACTTAGGGTCCAGAAAGAAGGTGCTGTCTGTGGCAGGGGATCCAAGTTCCTATGTCCTCTATCCTTCCATAGTTAGGAGTGCTGGAATCACCAGGAAGAAAGGAGGAAAGTGTGTCCAGGGCCCTGTTTGAGAAGGTGGCTGATGGTGGTGGAATTCCTTTCTGTGGTGAGTTAATGACAGATGTTCCTGATAAAGACGGGAAGTTATTTACGTCAACAGTAATCAGATCTTCCCGCAGTGCAGAAAGGGATTTTGGGCTATTTGTTACTAATGAAGCTGCAGCAAGGTCACTATTCGAGGCAGATATTTTATGAGATACTGAAAACATTTCCTTGGCCCAGGTGGCAGCCTGTGCTCAGCCTGCACTGATGTCCAGGCAAATACATTTGGTCAGTGATGAGACAGAGATCTCCTTTTGTGTTCACCATGGCTAGGAGGGTGTGGGACTGGCATGGGACTCAGTAGACATTCTGGCAATGTTACTAAGTCCCCTGTGTACCGGAGGGTAAAGCTTCCCCCCACACCTCACATGTCCCTCACCTGCCAGGTAGAAGTCCATTCACAGTGGAACCCTTGCAGGCCTCTTAGAACAAGTGAAAGGCGCGGGGAGCAGAGCACCCACATGCATGGTCCTCTGGGAGCCAGCCTGCCAGGGAGTGGTGGGAGTTACTATAGAACTTCTTGGATTTGGTTTTATTTTTCTAGTTTCTGAAGCACACCAGCCTTTGGGTTTGCTGCCTGCAGCCTCCACCTCAGGAAGACGGCATCTCAGCGGGCACAGGCCTGTCATCCCACAGAGAGATCGAAAGTGCAAGTGTCTCAACAAGACCTTGTCTCAAAATAAAAACTGAACAAAGGGCTAAGAGATGTAGCTCATTGTGAAGGCCCTGGGTTCGGTCTCCAGTACCACAGAAAGAGGTAACAGACGATGGCGTCAGTCTTCTCTCCAGGAAGAAGTCTTGTTGCATCAGAAAGAAAATGCTGCTGCCTGGCGGTCTGTTCTGCTGGTGAGCCGGCCGGCAGATTTTTCACATTATCTATTTTCACTGTACTTCATCCCCACTTTTTGGATTCTTTGCGGACCCGTCTTCCTTAGCAGTCAGCTTTCTGGTCTTCCTTTCCTAGTGTGTAGCTCTGAGTCAGGTCCTTTGGCAGAGACTTAGATTTCTGCTGATGGAGGTGATTCAGGGTCTGTATTGGCAGCTGTAAGCCTTGCATTTCCTTCCTTCCTTCCTTCTTTCCTTCTTTTTCTCTCTCCCTTTCTTTCCCTCCCTCCCTTCCTTTCTCTCTCTCTCTTTCTTCTGTCTTTCTTTCTTTTCCTTTCTTTCTCCTTCCTTCCTTCCTTTCTTTTTCTCTCTCCCTTTCTTTCCCTCCCTCCCTTCTCTCTTTCTTCTTTCTTTCTGTCTTTTCCTTTCTTTCTTCTTTCCTTTCTCTCTCTCTCTCTCTCTCTCTCTCTCTCTCTCTCCTCTCTCTCTCTCTCTCTCTCTCTCTCTCTCTCTCTCTCTCTCTTCTTTCTCTCTTTCTCTCTTTCTTTCTTGTACTGGGGATCAAACTCAGGACCTCACTCTTGCCAGGCAGGTGCTGTGCCTCTGAGCTGCATCCCTGGCCCATTTGCATTTACTTTCAACTAGAACTTGGGCAGTGTGTGAAATGTTTTTCATCCAGCTGATGCCTGGTGACACCTCAGTATTCAGCTTAGCATAAAAAAGGTGTCTGTCTTCTTGCTAATGTGGACTTTGGTACCATCTGACTTTCCTGCTATCTTCCCTGGCAATCCTTCCACTAGCTTCACCTGTGCTTCTCCTCCCTTATGACTTTTTTCCTCTGTTCAGCAGCATTGCATGTTACTCCGGGTCTCAACTCTATCTTCCTGAGCCTCAGCTTCTCCCTGACACCTGCAGTCTCATTCGATTTGCTCTCTGATCGCTGAGTGGGTGGATGGGGAGGGCCAGACAGAGCCCCCAGCCTGCTCTCCACTCAGGCTCCCTGCACCCCACCCATCCAGCCAGCGTCCTCTTCTTCCAGTTCCCTGCCTTCACTCATCCTCCCAACACACACACCTCTGAGCTCAGTGTCAGTTTTTCTACAACTTAAATCCTCAGAAGATCTTGGTTTATAGCTTTTTGTACCTCAGCCTTTCCACATTTTAATTGCTCTGGGCTTCATACCCATTTGGCTGCCTTCTCGCTGAAAACTTATTTCCAGCTCCTTGAACAGGTATCATTTCTTTGTTTGGAGCCCATAGATGCCTCTCTTCTCCTTCATTACAAACACGTGGGAGGTTGTTGTAAGGTCCTGTCACCCACTGCTACAGAGCACTGGGGCTTCTTTCTCCCATCAAACTGGATTTGAATCTTGTTACCCAGCCTCTCCCCGTCTCTCTCCCCTCCCCTGGCTGGCCTCTGGAAATCACTATTCTAGTCTCCATTTTTCTTTCAGATCAGCTATTTTAGCTTCCACATATGAGTGAGGATATGCAGTGCCTGCCTCTCTGTGTCTGGCGTATGTCACTTAACAGTGTCCTCAGCTCATCCATGTTGCTGCGAATGATGGGATATCTTCTTCCTCCTTTCCTCTCTTTTTCTTTTCTTTTTCTTTTATTAGCCATAGATTTCAGATTTTTATAGAATGCATTACAAAAGAAGTTTAGTCAGAGGGTACAACGCCCACGTGGTCATCGGACTCTCGGATCCCTTCCTTCGCCTCTTGCTGCCCCCTGGTCTTATCCTCCAGGAGGGCTGCCTCATGCTGATGAGGACAACGGCAGAGCTGATTCCAAGGCGCCTGCTGCCAGTTGCTGGATGTGGTGAGGGTCTCACCAAGTGTGAATCTGCTTCTCTTCTGGTGGACACGCCAGTTGAGTCCCTGTCTTGGCTCCATGGTTGTAATTGGCTCTTACTTGGATTGTCCTAAGTCTTCAAGAAAGTGCCCACCACCACTGGCAGAACATTATACTAGGTATGTCAGAAAAGCCTCTCCAAAGTTTACTTCCTATGAATG